AAAAGTGAAGAGATGCATGTATAAAACAAATAGTTGTTTTTTGTGTTGTTTTTTGTGGGGGGGGGGGGGGGGGGGGATAAAACCCAACTGGACTCTGAAGTCTTATATTAGAGTTCAGTTGAAATGTTTGCATACACTCAAGTATGTAATATTAACTGGGGGTATGTAAGGATGCATTCAGACCATTTATTATTCCGTGTGAAGTTTTAAATTACTCTTTAAATATATATAATGTATTGACTGGTTTATTTATTTTTCGGTTTTATAGTTATACCAGCACCTATATTCTTTTATTCTTTTGATCAACACATTTTTATTTTTAACTCCCACTGGTTGAAGCAGGGGCATTTAGAATATGAACCCCCAGGGGCAATTCATGTTTTGCAACTGTACCCCAATATATGAGCATGAAAAGAATACAATATGAAAATAACAGCAATTATTATGACATACATTATAATAATATACATAAGTCAACATTGTAATTCACATAGTTTAATTATGCAGAGATTATTTAATCTCAGAGATTATTTAAAAACACATGCAAGCCAATTTGCACAGATTCCCCATAGAGAGGAGCTGTAGAGTCCTCCGTACCACAGGTAGGAATGACTTCCTGTGGCGCTCTGTAGCAAATTTTGGTGGAATCAGTCTTCCACTAAATGTGCTCCTGTGTTTCACCAGTGTGTCGTGGAGTGGGTGCAAGGCGTTGTCCAAAATGGCACGCAGCTTCGACAGCATCCTCCTCTGTGTCACTGCCATCAGAGAGTCCAACTCCACTCCCTCCACATCACTGGCCTTATGGACCAGTGAGTTGAGCCTGTTGGCATCTGCTGCCCTCAGCCTGTTGCCCCAGCAGGCCACAGCAAAAAGGCCACAACAGTCTCATAAAAAAAAAAAAAACTTGAGCCTCAGAAAATAGAAATATTTCACACATAAACCCTCAAAAGTATTTGGTGAAATCTCCCATCATCAAGGTTCTGCTGATGTTTTTGGATGATTATTTGGCTACTCTTTTTGTCAGAAGTGGTAAAATTGTTGGTATCCATGGCGCCAGCTCTGATTTTTGATGCCAGTCTATGAATTTCCAACAGGTTTGAGGCTGGCTTTTTAGAAATGCCATATGATTAGTTCAAACCTAGTACGGATGTGTGTTAGGGATCTTCATCTTGGTGGAGCATCTATGTGTCTCTGAGTATCAGTCTGACCCAAAATGTCATCCTCAGACGACAGGAAAATGTTTCAGATGTTCAAGAACAACCCAGAAATGACCAGAACTCAAGCCGGATATAACTTGGAAGCAACTGGAACACCAGTGTCACTATCCATAGTAAAACCAGTTTTGTGATTTATCAGCTCATCACCGTCCACTGAGAAGGAAAAGTCTCCTGCTCCAAAACGGATAAATACTTTAATTACTGTTATCTCAATAAATTCCACCAAATATGGGATTGGCCATCCTCTACTTGGACAAAAGTCGGCCTTTCAAGAGGTCAATGATCTCCAACACCCATCATAACTGGTTTTGTCCTGGAAGTTCCTGGAATAGCCTCAATTTCAAGCAAACCGACAGTTTATGGTGGACTATGCTTAAATTCCAGGTTCTAACCACCAAACCAAACAATTTAACTGAACTACACCATTTATAAAGAGAAGAATCATAAAATAGTCAGCCAGAACTAAACCAGAAGCTTATTGTTGGCAGCTGTCATTTCTTTCTAAGCTAACTTTATTTAAGTATTTGAAGGGAGGCGGGGGGTTGTATATATAATTAAGAATGTTAGTAAAATCTGACCAGTTGGGGATTAGAATAAATGTTTTGAATTGCATGATCATGCCATCTGGGAAAAAGAACGGCTCTAATAAGTCCTTAAAACATCCAGATTCATAAGATGCTCATGCCCATGATGAGTGGATGGAAACATTTGAGGAGACGTGTATGCAGCTTGACTTTCTACGGTTTCTCAAGAATCTTTCTCCTGGCATTTTTACTCTTTCCTATCATCTTTTTCCCCACTTCTTCCTCCCCTCTGATGGAAACCTTTTAAAGCTACAAATAGACAGAATAAGTAATTATGTAGCTGGGGAATTGTAAAAATCCTTGACCTGCCATACTTTCTTTGGCTGAGCCTGCAGCCCAAATGATAGAAGACAGAGCTGAACCAGGAGCGTTGTGGACATCAAAGGCGAGACAGGGATAGAGCTAAAGTCTCCTTATCCAGGCCTTTTGATGTTCCAGGGAGGTGAAAGATGGAGCTCTAGTTCTTTCAGAGCCGTACGAAGGACAGCGTTTTGCTCTCGTGTGACTCACACTGTACACATTGATCGAGGCGGCGTAATAAAGTGAACATAAATCGAGTTTTTTGGGGGGATGGACTGCCTGCGTCCTTATTTTAGGTTTTTCACTTTGTTTGCAAAAAAACAAAAAAAGAATGCGAAGGATGCTGACAGACAAGGGCAACACGAGGCAAAAATGAGAAAATACTGTCAGTAATAAACAGCTGGAGCTGGGGGCTCAGCCAAGTCAATCTCAGTGGCTCCATTTGGCCTTGAATTGGAGGTAATGAGCAGATGGAGAGGGTCACTAAGACTTGGGATAGCTCACCGCCAGGAGAGACACACAATACCTTTTCCCCTTTTTCCCGGTAATCACACCCTACCCAGCCACACACACACACTCCCATCCACCTGCCAGCACACATACAATCAATTATTCAAACAGCAGGAAGGGAGGCAACAGAGAAAGAGAGCATTCAGGGGCATCTTAGCACAGGCTCACCTCAGGTTACAAATAAAGATTTTTTACCAAAACCTGGGAGAGCAAAACTCTCGCTTGCAAAAAATTTAAATTAGAAACCATCGGACTCAAGAAATGTGTTTTAGTCATAATATATTGAAATAATACAGCACAACAATATCCTATGTAAGAACCTGAAGGCGGTTTAGTCGGAGCTGACCTATAGATGCCCTCCACCATAATGAGGATCTTCTTCCAGGGTCTGTGGGTCCGAGGCTGCCCTGAGCAAACAGCCTCTCTTAGAAGCTTCTCCAGACTGTGCATGTCTAAAAGCACAAGCGCACACACACACACACACACACACACACACACACACACACACACACACGCACACGCAGGCAAAGAACAATTAAGACAAGGTAAATATAGAGAAAAAACAATTAGAATAATATTACAAAATCTGCCCAATAAAGTATACAGTGCATAGCAAACGTATTCACACCCTTCTGGAGGCGGTGTGGCTACTCATCAGATGAGATTAAAACTGAACTTTTTACTCTGAAACTGTTCAAAACACACGTGACAGAACACTGCACATCCTGTGCTCACCACTCCCACTGTTAAACCTGTTAAAAAACAAACAAACTCATGGCTGTAATTGTGGTTAAAGGTTGTTTTGTCGAAGCTTCTACGTGTTCCGTCCACGTAGAAGCCATTTAAAACCCATGCGTGATTCCTTCTAGTGCAACACGATGTGCCGCTTTATGTTTTTCTATCACATAAAATCTTTATAAATTTACATTCAGGTTTGTGGTTGTAAGCTGTAGATTAGTTGTGGGGTAATGCTCTCGCGAGGCATACACCAGTAGGTTCAAATAAAGCAATGATATGATTGTACGTTGCTGTATAGACCACTTCTAAAGTAGATTTAGGAATACAAAGAGCATTGCTGTATGACAGAAACACATTCAGCAAACCATCCATCTGTTATCCAGGTCACAGTGGGGCTGGTGCATATTTCCATGGAGCAAGACTCGGGGGTACACACCGAAACATTCCTATCAACTAATACAACTACTGACACGCTTCCAGATGTGAGGTATCTGTCATAATTACACACATGTAAAAGCATGCTAGGAAAAACGTTTCTATGAGTTAATATAAATCGTGACAGAAATTTTTGCTCATCATGGGAGTGATTTCTCAAAACGTCCTTTTTCCATATGGGGGTGATGTCACAATCTCCTGTGACTATCCAGCAGATGGCAGTATCGACCAGGTGTGATTCTCCTGAATTTTTGTATTTAAAATCTAACTTCAGCCCAGCCATGAGCTGCAGAAAAAAGCCCCTGCCACAGCCAACAGTCTGTCCAGATGATCGATATTACTGCCTCCACGCAGACAGGTTCATTTAGGAGACAGCAGATGCTCTGCTGCTGCTGCTAATATCCCCTCCTGAAGCTCAACAGGACAGAATGCATCCTGCGCAACTCAAAAGGAGACCAGACTAGAGATTATTTTACGGTATCACTCTGATTCAGGATAAGCTCTGACCTGACATGTGACATTGTGTGACTAGATGCTTATCTTCTTCTTTACAGAACAAGCACACAAACAAGTAAACATCTGTACGTTGCTGCAATTATACTTTACAGTAATCACTTTTGGTTTAAGCTACATTAAGCCAAATGTATCTAAAGCTCACTTTTAATAAGCAAAGATCCACACGTGCAGCAAATCACTAAGAAAAATAACAAAAAAATAAAACAGAGAAATGTCATCATGTTTTCCGATGCACAAACCTGGACTGTACAAACCAGTTTTCCTCTATTGTTGGAGATCCGGCTCTGCCAAGATACAAATCATAAACATTTCAGCTGCTGTGAACATGCGATTGCACATTGTCAGGACTTGCACCAGCAACTAACGCTGTAAAACCCATGGCTATATTTTTGTGACTTTCTAGCCATTTCAGAAGTAACTCAGCTAAATGAGGGCTTGAACGTCGGCTGCTGAAGGTTTCTTGGCAAGAAGCGGTCTGCTGTTCAGGTGCCTGAGGCTTCTTTGCCTTTAGACAGGCCTCGGGGGGTCTGATTGGTGGAACTATAACTGGCTGAGCTTGCACCTGTCAGGATGCATTTGCTGCTAAAGGACTAGCCCATTTGAGGTGTTCTGTTGGTGGTGTTCCTGAGATAGATGGGATTCCAGTACACGGTTTTACGTAAAGTTTTTTTTTTTTTTTCCAAAGAAAACAAACTTTACGTAAAACAACATAACTAAACAGATACAATGTCTTGCCAAATATTCAAACCCCAAAACTATTCAATGTGTTTCATATGTCAGACAAACACAAAGTAGCAGCTCAGCACAAAGTGGAAGAAAAATGATGCACGGCGAAAACATCAAAAGTGTGTGGTGTATTTTGTATTCAGCTCGTTTTACTCCTAACGAGCTTGCCCTCAGAGGTCACCTCATTAGTAATTAAGAGTCCACCTGTGTGCACGTTAATCTCGGCATAAATGCAGCTGGTCTGTGAAAGCCTCAGAGGTTCGTTAGACAACACAAGTGAACAAACAACATCATGAAGACAACGGAACACAGCTGACAGGTCAAGGTTGGGAAGCTGGGCAGAACTTTAAAGCAGAATGTCCAAAGCGTTGGACATCTAATGGAGTATTGTTGAATCTATAATGTGAAAATGGAAAAAAGCATAGAACGGCTGGAACCCGACCATGATATCGCCATGCACGCACAGTAACAGGCGGTCAGTTAGATCCAGGTTTGATCTTAGAAAGAGGGAAAGCGGGGATGGCTACGGATATTGTGAGGGAAGTTGAGACATGCAGAGACGAGACTGATGATGGACAGAACGCTTCCAGGTGCTACATGCAATGTAGGGGAAACAGCAAACGTCTGGAAGAAGGTTCCCTGGTTGAGACCAAAACATTAAAATTTCATCTGCATCCAGCATGGGGATGTTTTTTCTTTAGCAGGTACAGAGATGCTGCTCAAACTTAATAGGAGGAAGGATGGAGCTCAATACAGGGTAAAAACAAAAACAAAAACAAAACAAAGTATATTCATGTATTAGAATGACCTAGAGACTGAAAGGGCAAAACTTTGAGTATCTACTCGGGGGTCGGCAGAGTATTGACTCAGTTGGGGGTAAATATAAATGTGAATCACACTCTTTAGACTTTAATTTGCTAGAAGGTTTGAAAACCATGCATAATTTTTCCTCCACTTCAAAATAATGTGCCACTTTGTGTTGTTCCTTAAAATATTAACAATAATATATAGTGACCTTTGTGGTATTGAGATCACTGTTTATAGAAAGGTTTAAGTGTTCAACACTTCAGTTTTGGAGCTTGCTGCATATAAATTGTGATATTTTTGCTGGTTAGCAAAAAAACTTTTCATAACTCCAAACATACTAATATGAAATGCAAATATGATACTCTTCTCTAAATCTGCAAATCCTGTGAAAAACATTTTAGGGAACAGCAGAAAATAACCAAGAAGATGCAGTTTGCAGCGCTGCGAGGAGAAGCTCAAGCTTTTTTTTTTTCTGTCGTAAAAATGGTTCAAGTCAAAGTAAGTTTGCTCTCTGTGATAAACACACACAAGGACTCACAAAGGACTGAGTCTTGAATTGCAATTTGGATCTCGCCTCCTATGAATTGTGCAATAAATAAAAAGAGACAGCCGATGAACTTACTGTTGTGTTTGAACACCCGGATTGTAGCTCCTGACAGTCTGGCTCCCAAGATTAGAGACGTGTGGTTGAGCTCATCGCTTACTATCAAACATCCCTGGAAAACAGGAAAAAAAGCTGCAACTTAAACACACACACAAAAAAAAAGACTTTTCAGGTCCAGTTTAATTCTCACAATATGAAGCCTGGAATGAAATGTCTTATCAAATTTCATTGTAAACCTGATTTTAATGACTGATTATTGATAAGAGCAGGATGAGTCTTTCGTTCAGTTGCATAAAACAAACAACAGTTAACCGGCAACTATTTATCGGGTGAAAACTGCAACCATGTGAACGACGTAATGCATCTGTTCCTTAAGAGATTTCTTGGTTTTTATGTGCTTTAGCATAAAAAAAGCAATCCTGTTATGCAAATGTGCTTTTCCGAATAAAAAGGATTCACATGGCCAATTACCCGTCAGCTCATTCCTCTTCTTCTCCTTCCCCCATTTATGTCTTAATCACAATCTTTTTATGTCCTGACACAGAAGGGATAGAAATCGTCTGCAAATGTCCCCTCCTTTTGATGTCTGATAAAATTTTTACCAGCTCATCTGTTATAAGTTTTACTTGGACAGTGTGATGCTTCATATTCTATAAAAATCTGCATGCAAATGAATTCAGTTGTCCCATGAAATTCTCTCCGGAGCATTAGCATATATAACACTGAGGCTCTGAGCAATTGACTGCATTAATCGGAATAATCTTGTAAGGAGGGGGGTGGGCGGGTTGGGGGGCTTGTGTTGACACCAGCACGGTGACAGATACGCTCAGCATGGCCCGGGGTCAAGCTGGTCCACCAACAGCTGTCACTCTAATGTGGCTCCGCCTGCATGGAGAGGCCTGTCCGAGCTCACCCTGTCCCTGTAGGACGGAGCTGGCAGCGAGGGCTGACCCCCAGACGTCACCGGGCTGGCGTCAGCGCTGCAGCCCAAAGGGGCTGCTGCACCTCTTCAGCTGCATAAAACGAGCCTGCTCTCATCACTTAAAACCGTCAGCCCTCCTTTCCTTCCTGTCCGGCTGAATCGCAGCTACTCCTGCTCCATGTTGCCGCTGGTTTCTGTCAGCTCCACTTGAAGCAGGCGGGTGTGCCAAGAGGCCAGATTATGGGTAATCAGACCCTTAAGTAGTGCTCATAAAAACTGCCCTTGCTTGTCTGCCTGCCTGGAAGCAGTCATGTATGCCCAGAACCTTCTTATTCTGGCTACTACAAGGTTTAATTAAAACTTTAATTAAGTGAGGTGGTCAGGAATATTTAACGGTTGATGTAGGTTTTCTTTTAAGAATTTGGAGCATATGCAAGAAGGAAACAAAAGCTCAACTAATTATATTAATATCTACCATGCTTTGCAAACTGCACCTTTATTGCTATCTGGTTTCTTTCATTCAGTGAGTGGGGAAAAGTGTGAGGAATCGCGTACCTTCCCCACGAGAGCTGGGATGTTCATTGAGTTTGTTGCAAAGCCCATCCCGAAAATCATGGAGGACTCGACCCCAATGAAATCGGCCACGAGTTCCTCCAGCTCCTCATGAATCTTCAGGTTACCTGCGAGATGGAAATCACAAAAAAAAAAACAGTCTCTCACCTTGGATGAGGTCTGCATCTCAGGAAATTATGCAATGTTGATATCGCTAAATATTGCAACTGCGGTCTCGGTTGGGGTCAATCAACCTTTCCCACATTTTTCTGTTTGTCATCTGTTTCTACATTCGTGATTGAAAGGCAGATTGGCACAGGGTTTGCGTTGCTACAATTAACTACGGTCACGACCTCTGGGTAGTGACCAAAAGGAAAAGGTCATGGCTACAAGAAGCCCTGTTTGTGCATGTTGCTATCGTCAGAGAGTGATTTATTCCTTTAGGTTCTTGTTGATCTTTTTCTAGTCATCCAATCTAACATTCTGACAGACAGCAATAGTCTCCTCATAAAAAAGCAGAAGACACAAACCTCTGGATCAGCACTCACACTCTGGAGATTAAATTCAATTCTTATAGATCTATGATGTGACAAACTTGGAGTTTAGTTCCCCTGATCTTTTTTTTTTGTTTTGTTTTTTTTGTTGTTTTTTTTCCATCCAAGGTAATATCAGAGCAGGTCCCGCAAGGTCTAAAATGATTCTGTTGGACAATATGAGGCAGAAACAGTTGGTGATAAACCAATATGGCAGGTGGGGACCAGAATTCATTTTTGTGCTAATGTGCCATCTGACATTGTGTTTCTTTCATTTTGTGAACAAAATAGATTTTTTTTTTTTTTTTTTTTTTTGTCTTGGTATCTGCCTTTGTAGCCATCTGCGAAATAGAACAATTAAAGTTTCAGTGTCAGGATGCATCGATTTCTATAAACTGGACTTTAATTGTGTTACAGTGCCTAGAAAAAGTATTCATACCTCTTGAACTTTTTCTTATGTTGCCACATTACAACCACAAACCTCAGAGGATTTTAATCAGACTTTATGTGACAGACCAACACAAAGTAGTGAATAATTAAGCAGTTGAAGGAAAATTAAAACTCTAAAAATGCTTATGGATTCAGGCCTCTTTACTGATAACCACAAATAAAACCCAGCGCCACTGCCTGCAGATGTTACTTGAATAAAAAGTACATAAATAGAAATGCGTATTATTTCCTCTCCGTATAAATCCAGCTGGTATATGAAGTCCATATAGGTTTGCTAGACAACACCAGACAAGAAACGGCATCACGAAGACCAAAGAAGACAGCAACCGCTAATAAAACAAACTGCAAAGCTACCATGACATGGTCATTCACCAAAACCAGGGGTCTGCAGCTCCAGGCCTCGAGAACTACTATCCTGCAACTATTTCTCTTCTCCACTCCTGAATCAAATGAGTGAAATCCCTCGTCAGCACGTCCTTCAGCTCTGCAGAGAGCTGATAACGAGCCATTTATTTCATTCAGGTGTGTTGGAGCAGAGATGCTCTCAAAAGTTGCAGAATAGTAGCTCTCGAGGACTTGAGTTGGAGACGGATGACCTGATAGAGAAGCAGTCAAGTAGCCTAAGGTAACAATGGAGGAGCTGCGGGGGTTTAGAGATCAGGTGGGAGAATCTGCTGACAAGACCAATTTTAGTTGTGGACTCCACAAACCTGGCCTTTATGAGAGAGAGGAGAGAAGAAGAAAGTCAGACGCATCTGCAGTTTGCCCCCTAGCCATGTACATATAACAGCAGACATGTAAAAGTGTAATCTCTGGCCAGATAAGAGCAGAATATAACCTTTCGGAAGATGGATGGTGCTAAATACAGGCCCTTACAGGAGAAAAACCTGCTAGAGGCTGCAGGCGACCCAAAACTGTGTTGGAGGTTTGAGTTCCAGCACAACAACAAGTATAAAAATCTAAATCTACTTCCTTTTCTTTCCACTCCAAAAGTAGGAACCCCTTCGTATTGGTCTGCATGGGAACTCCAATAAAATACATTCAAGCTTGCACTAGTAATGTGCTAAAACATGAATAAATCTAAGGAATGTAAATGCCTTCCGCAGAGCACCGCATATTCTGCATGCATGATATAAATCTCCAAAGCATGGAATCCATTCTAATACACTCGGCCCGCGTTGTTACATTTGCATTGACAAGTAATAACACAGCCGACTTTCTGCAGAGGGAATATAAAATCTGATGAATAGTAATAACACAAAATTTCCCGACGTGACCTTTCATATGAAAACGGGGCCTTCATTGCATATACATTGCATACTAATCATTACAGTCAAAGTCAATATGGGTCATTACGACAGAGGGCGGGCATTAAATACTTACGCAGACAGATGTTTTTAGGCAGGCCGGGAAAATGGAAATCCGAGTGATGGGCATAAAACTGTAATGAAGTGAAGCAGCTCTGTCTTTATAGTGACTCCCGTTCAGTGCTTTCAGGACGATGAGCTAGCTAGATCGATTCTTACATTTCCTCGACCGCATGAGCACACAGGCCCTGCTGGCACGTGTAGCGTTTTTAATCAGACTGCACTGGCATTTGAGTTCTTTAAGGAACATTTCCCCTGGCAGTGTCTGCATAGGTGCGCCCAGCCTTCTTATTGATATTTTAACCTTCAGAAGCTGCCTTTAGATCTAGATACTACTCGGGTGAAAGAGAGTGATTAGATGTAGCTCATCCTGCTTTGGTTAGATGGAATGAGATGATGCCTACATCTTTTTTTTTTTTTAAGTCTTCCTTTGCCTGTGTTAGCAAGATCATCATCATGTTTAGTGAGAACACTAAATATTGGAACTGTAGATATAAATCCTTCCTGTCTGTTTTTGTCACTACTTACATAGGACCCAAGCTTTCTCTAAAGCATTTATAAGCATAAAAAGAGTTAATTATTTAAATATTAATTATTTCGATAGTGTATTCAACGATACGCTATTATTTCACAAATGCAGTGCTTGCCACATCTACTGGCACATCTATTAAGAGTAAAAAAAATATATAAACATCTAAACATTATCTTTAACTGAAAGAGAAGAAAAATATATTTTTTTAATTTAACTAAAATTACTTAATGGGGGTTAAAAATCCCATGTTAAGAAATAATATCTTTACAAAATCCCAGATGGCTCAAACGTTGATAATATAAATTACTCAAGTGCCAATAAGAGAGCACTTAGTCTTCTCCTATAATCTTTCAGATGGTGTAGCAGAATAAGCTTCTTTTTCTAATATGCCTAATTTGTTTTAGAAATTGACACACTTTCTACACTGAACAAATGTACTTTGGGTTACACATTGATATTGCAACTTTATTTAATTGTGAAGCTATAAATGTGCGATAATTTTTTTTTTCTGTGTGAGATTATACCACCGCACTAAAATATTAATTAATTTCAATTGTTTTTTTTGTTTTTTTACATTTGCACCACTTGTGCTGAAATATCTGTGTCTGAAACCCAATAATTCCCTTATTAGTAATAAGTGATTAATTACAATGCTTGCTATGTGAGAATATTTGACAAACAGTAAGTTAATGATTGCAGGAAAAAGAGGACCAACCTAGTAATGTCAGTCTTTGAATGTTTGTCTTCAGAGACACTCCCCTCGAGCACACATTAAAATGTTCTGTTATTTCATTAAAATTTACTTGAGTGAATACTACATTTTGTTCCAATAATTACAGGTTGACTAAGACTTCAAGTTAAACTGCAATTAATCTCAAGACAGGAGATCATTTAAAAAAAAAACAAACAAAAAAAAACAACATGTTGAATCTGAATGTTAAATGGAAAATAGATCATCAGAGTGAATGGTGCTTATTTTAAAATATATATCCTGTTAAGTTGTTGTTGGTTTTATTTTTAACTGTGTACTACCAGCCTCTAAAAGATCTAGGTTTTTCAGTCTGTTACAAATTGCTATGGCTGTGATGGCATGATGACAGCTCTTAAAGAGACACCAGGGTTTTTAAATATTTACTTCATATATGGTCTCATGAGACAAATGCTTGTTTTTGCATAACCCGCTCACTCAAGACAGCTGAAGTGCCCATTAGAAACCCAGACTAAAACAGTCCAATTTGGAAAGAGAAATAAACATATAAATAAATCAAGGAAATGAATAATGGATTGTTTTGGGGGCCGGGGGTGGTAAGGGAGTGGTGAACTGACAAACACTGCTTGTTGTTTTTCACTGTCAAACTGCTGATATCACGAAACACACTCCCACATACACAGACTCTTGTGTGCCCGCCCCACTTTGTAAGCCCGCTCTCAGCAGACGCACGACTACCTGGCAGCAGAGGTTTAATGCTCTAAAAACATCAATAACGAGAGAGGAAAAAGGAGCTTTTTTCTGAAGAAAACTTCACCAATGAGATCCATGATGTTCACTCATCGAATGTTTTGACAGAAACACACAGCTGATTGCTAGTCATTAGAGTTCCGAGCTCCAAGATAGACATGCCTGAAATGAGCTTCATGCTGCCACTTGCATCTGATCAGAAGAGGAGCTCAAGATCAAAAGATAAGACACCATTTAAAATTCATTAGATCCCACTTTCCGATCCTTGTTATTATAACATGTCCGTGTATGTATATCGCATTTGCATCCTGTTTAAAGTCCTGGGGGTTTTTAATTATGACAGCTCATCCACAATAGCATGTCTTCCATGGCTCCTCTGTGGACCAAAATGTATCTCTGCTGATTATCACTGCACATAATTGAACAAAAGCTGAATAATTCATACAACAATACAGTTGCTGACAGATAATTAAACATAGTGGCAGTATAACTCAGGGGAAATATACAGGTCCTTCTAAGTAAATTAAAATATCAACAAAAAGGTCATTTTATTATCCCCATTTTAAAAAGTGAAACTCATATATCGATGGCACACAGCGTGATACAGTCAAGCATTTATTTCTGTTCATTTCGACTATTTCAACATAGAAACATCAGCCCACCGAAAAGTATCTGTGTGTACTGTAAAGTATATCCATACTTGGTCGGCCCTCCTTTTGCAGGAATTACTGCATCATTGCAGTGTGGCATGGAGCTTGTGCCTCTGATGAGGAATTAAAGAGACTCAGGTGGCTTTGATAGCGGCCTTGTCATCTGAATAGTTGAGCCTGGTGTCTCTGAAGATCATCTTGGCTTAGATTAAGATTAAGTAGGTTTATAGGCTAATTGAGGATGTGGGATGTTAAGCTCAGCATTGTGACAGTTCCTCCTTTTCTTACTTAGCTGTCTAGCTGTTCATAGTGGTCTCTGATAGTGGACCACTATCAGTGGTCCACTATCAGACCACTGATAGTGGACCACTATCAGTGCTTAATGAGCTGTAAATCAAGCTCATTAAGCACACGGGATGAGAACAAATGCTGACTCTGTCAGCGCTGATTGGCAATTCTGCTCCCCTCTTGCATCACTTTTATGCTGGGCTTCCCTTTTTTCAAAGATACAATCCCCCATGTCTCTACTGGGACAGAGTTAACACAAGCCCAGCATGCTCCACAGAACAAACAATAACTTCCTTTAGTATTCCTTGGAAATGTCATTACACACCTTCAGCCAAACCTGACGGACCCGTCAAGTACGGCCGCTGCCCTTCCTAGGACACCTTATGGACTTCCGCTCAGACCATTACTTTATGCTGTAAAATAAACTTTTATGACTCGAACTATGTTGCTTCTAAGAGCAATTTCTGCTATTGGGTCTAAACAACACAGACAGGTGTTTGGATTCAGGTGTTTACAGATACACTTCATGTTGGGCTTCGGTTAGTACAGCATACTTTTCAGAGACGTTTGTTCGTCGTTATTGTATCCTTCATCGTTTCTTTTTTTTTAATAAACCAAAAGCAATGTCTAATTTAGGTATTTTATATAAATATAACTAGTGATGCATCATAGTGAAAACTATAATGCTCCACTTGTGAAAGTGAATCTTGTACTTCTGTGGGTACGATTCTGAATGCTACACGACCAGATGGGACACATGGAAACTGACTAAGCTAAAACAGGAAGTGGTACATCAAGTGTGGGAAAGTGTCGGGTCGTGATGGAAAATGAAATAAACATCTTCACTCAGCTGGTCACCAGAAGGAAGCAGGAAGTGCTCGAATATATCCCGGTAAGTGGCTCTACTGGCTTCCGAGCTGATAAACACAGTCAGCATTGTCAGGAAAACATTGCGACATAATTGCTGAAGTTAGAAATTATAATATTGATGATTAACCCACATTTTCCTGACACTTTTCTTTCTTTTCCTTCATCACAATATCCCCACCACTCTTCATGAGCTTTAGTATCTCAGCCAATGAAAATCTATCTACGAGGCCAGATATGCTATTAGCATGTAGGGTTTGCATGCATGACACATGAAATTTATTGATCTATCAATGCAAATAAGCAGACCCTTTGTGATTGAAGTGTTGCATGCATAGATGTTACAATAACTGTGATTTGATATGTTGTGCATCAAGTAACTCAAGCAACTTGGATTTTTTTTTTGAACCTCTCTACTCTTCCTCAATTCTCTGGGGGTCTTGATTCCCAAATGAATGGTAAAAGTTACTTTCATCTGAAAAAGGGGACAGAGCAGCAGCATAAAGCGCTCTAGAAATTTCCTGGCAGACTGCTGTGCTGACTTGAGAGTTAATGAAAGTCCCCTAAGCAACAGCCATGTCATTTTTCACCTTAGTCCAAGTGAAACGACTCTGACATTGTCTCTGGTCCAGGAGTGCACATTCTAGCACACTTCCGTTATTACTAGTAATTTTATGCCACATCCCAACTTTCAGAAAAAAAAATTGGGTCGTCAAGAGCTGTAAGCCATAATCATCAGAGATTTTAGAAAACAACACATGAAGTATATCACTGTGCATTATGACAGGCAGTTTCAACAGAAAATGCACAAAAGTCAATTCCCCCATCACATAAAAACAAACACTGTTCCTACTATGATTTATACAGTGGACTTTACTTCAAATCAAATGAAAAGCTTTGTGAAACTGAGCTCAAAGCGACAAGTGGGAAACAATCTCTTTTATCTGTTAAACATTGACCGCAAACTGACCAATTTCCTGTCTTGTGCTGCAGACGCCAGCCCCATACTGCCGCACCTTCTCTGCCACAGTTTTCAGGAAATCTTCGTTGTTTTCTGCGAAGCCGAGGTAGTTGTATGAGCCCATGTTGATGACGTTGTGTATTGTCCTCCCAGTAAACCTGTGAAGATTTATGTTTGTCTCAGTTAGTGTGTCATTGTTCTTCTGGTATGCACACACACGCACGCACACACACACACATGCAAACATAAATAACCTCCCAATAAACTGCACAATAGCTAAATATGTGCTATTCAGTAGCAAGAAATGGAATCCAAACAACTATACTTTAAACTAAAAGGCAGTGAATTTATATATTTTTGGAGAACGAATATGCAGATAACACTGGATCTCTTATGCATGTGAATACAATGAGGAAGTTGTAGGAAACATAGCCCAATTTCACCTGTCCAGTTTTAAAATAAGTTCTTCTTTCAAAGAACTGAAGGAGTTTATCAGCCGACCTACTTTTTCCACTCTGCTTCATACCATTTTGCCAATTCACCACACTTCTCCACAAAAGTCGAGGAGGCTTCCCCATATCTTCTTCTTACAGTCACATTAAAACCTCTTTAAACATGTAATCCACGCTTACCTCTTCACAGATTCATAATATCACTTTCCTTCCCTGTGGCTCTGCTCATTTTCTTTTTCATAACACATTCCCTGACCCTGCTGCGCAGCGCCAAGGAATATCAATTGTGGTCCAGAAACTCAAAACCATATCTGCATATGGTATATTTGCTGATATTCTTGGTGTGACATATTTGGAGGAAAAAAATCTACATGTAAGTTAATTTAGGAGAACTTACTATATAATAAAGACATGGATGCACACTTACCTTAAAGGCTATATACACTGACAAGCAAAGAGAGAAAACCTGACATAATGGTGGTTATATCTAGTCAAAAAAAAAAAATCAAATACATGTGCAAGTGTCCTAAAAGTACTTTGTGGCAGCTGGTTTCAGAAAACAGCATATCCTTTAGATTAGGGAAATGATCTTTAGATTGTCTTCGCAAGTCTTATTGGTTTTGAGATGCTCCCACGCTCTCAAGTCATCTGGGTATGAATCACAATGTTTCTATGCACAACATAATCCCGCACACAGAGTGTTGTATGCAGGAACATATTGTTCACCTACTGCCAAAGTCATTCAGTGTTGGTGTGTGCATCTGTTTAGAGATTGCCTCATATTTAATAAGTTATCCTTTCATCACACCAGATAAAGTCTCCAGGATATTTAAGAATTTTGTAACTTCACTGGATTTTGGCATAATTTATAAAGCAGTTCAAAACAACAATAATGAGTTATGAGTGAAAACTTAACCAGAAACTACAGAAAAAAAAAACATCTAATCAGTGAAAGCAAAGTTTGATCACGCATTAATACTTCTGAAAATCCACAGCACTCACACTGGTTTTCAAGAAAGGCGTCACACTGCAAGTAGCATTGCTTTCAATTTTTTGTTCTCTACCGTAATCTATGTTCAATATACATCCTACTGCTGTTTTGTTCACCTGCTGCTAGCATGACCATAATATCGCAGTGACTCCAGGAAAGGTGTTACATTTGTCTCATTATCTTTCCTCACACGATGCAGGCTTTCCCTATAAATGTGAGAGATTTTTGCACCATCAGCTTCAGCGGGATCCATGTTTTTACCAGCAGTAAGACAAGGTTCCTTGTGGGGGATTTCTGTACAGATGCAGTGCACTGCAAAGCATTCATTTTACTGCAGCACTTTAAAAATTATATACAAAACTTATATTATAAGCTTTGACAGTATGATGAATATATTTCAAAGCCTGAAGAACCCAACTTTCCTCAGTCTCCTCGAAACCTCCGTATGTGCATTTTATAGTCATGTGCTCCTTTCTGTAGCTTATATTATAAGCTTTGACAGTATGATGAATATATTTCAAAGCTTGAAGAACCCAACTTTCCTCAGTCTCCTCGAAACCTCCGTATGTGCATTTTATAGTCATGTGCTCCTTTCTGTAGCTGTCCTACTCCACACGCAACACAGCTAAGGTGCTAAAAGTTACAATTAGAAATGGTTGGGCTACAATACCTGAATGTCCAGTTGTAGTCATCAGACACCCTTTCCATCAAGTCGAAGATAGGGCCTGGGAGACTGCATATGGGACGGTTCCAGTTGTCCCTTACTCGCATGTATAGGTTTCGAGTGTAAAAATTTTCAAAGTCCTGGTAAAGGGGAGTGAAATCCTGGCAATAAAAACAAATTAGTTAACTTCACAATGAGTCAGAACCAGGTTAATATTATTTTTTTTTCTTTTGTCAAGCCTAATTGCGAATTTAACAATTTGCTTTTTACAAGTTCTTGTACTTGTACGATAATCAGAGCCTTTATAATGTAATGTTATTAAATTTGAATAATTACTCACCTTAATCCAATGACAAAGCTCAAAGCTAAGCTTTTTCATCAAGATTAGTCGAGAATATCCTCAACATCCTTAATAAAGTAAAATCATGACTTTTTTGGCTGACTACGCTGTCAAGATAATACTATATTGTGCCTGCCAACCCATAAAGCACAAAACATGTTGAAGACAAAGTATTTTCTAATTTAACCTTCACTGAAGAGACATAATATGAAATCTGAAACAAAGTAACAGAGAGCTTGAATCCTCTGAGATTTAATTAGATCTTCAACACATATTCTCTTTGGTGTTCCGTTTCACCCATGGCAACGTTATACAGAAGTGCGGAGAAACACAAGGGAAGAAAGAAGAGGCACTGCTTAAGGAAAAATTGAAATAATTGGGGAAAACAAAACGTACTGATGGTGTCTGCAAGCTTGGGTGTGTGGTATGCGTCTAATCATACAAAATGCCTGGGAGTGTGCCGACTGCATGTTTTTTTATGTTGCACCTACCTTCTGTTCCTCTCTTTCCTGAGCAACATGGCACTTCTCCAGGCCCACAGCTCGGAGGACGTCTCTGAGGTAACCAAACAGGGTGACAATCCCATAACCCAGGTACGTCATCACCGCCACATACATGGGTGGCTGTTCAAACGTGTCATGGCTGAACTGCCTGGAGCCGACGCCAGTCTGTGGGCCATTTTTCTATTTAACGAGAGAGCAATGATGAGCGCTTTTGCATTCCGGACGGGAGCAAAACAAAACGTAGTAGCATTTGTAGTAACAAATGCGGTTCAGCTTAATATAAAAAATGAATTGTGGTTAGCATTTCAATTAACCTGGATGAAACAGACACTGAAACCTGTAATTATGAGACTCATTTTGAAAGACTCAGCATTAGGGATCTCTGTGTGCCAACAGTTAGAAATGTGTTGTAATATTTCATGTGAAAGAGAACCAAGATGATTTAATTCAACATGAGTAGTTTTAGAAAACTCTCCCCTATGAGTGACTTTTCAGGAAATACCTGAAACTATTGACCAGTCTCATACTGTAAGCAACTATTCACGTGACTTTATTATCTACGCATCGACATACAATCAGATTATTTGTGCAGCAAAGGGAGCCACGCCCTTTGTCCATTTGAAGGAATGCAAATACAGGACAGAATGGCAATGAAAGCCAGATAATTTATACAGCTTCGGGTTGCTGTTGTGCTCGTCTCATCAGGCCACTTTGCAGTTTCTTGACTTTCATGTCCTACATGCTTTTTACAAGCTCTTAAAATGCACAAAGCAAAAAATAATCATGGCTAAGGCGAAGTTTCTACAAAAAGAACAACACTGCAGGGACATTTTTCTATTGGTCACACTTCAAAATGGGAAAGAGGCCCCAAGATGACCTTGGTATCATGCGTGGGATTTAAAAGAGGTAAAAAAAAAAAAAAGAAGAAAAAAACATACACACAAACAAACATACATTTTTTTTTTAAAGGGAGTCAACTTAGAACCACGACTTTACAGCATTAAGTGCATCTCTGTCAGTAAATATATGCTTTCATCGCCATTGTATTACGAGTATACGTAAAGAATCACAGAGCAGGGACAGTTTAACGACATCGATTGCAATGTTTTCCCAGTATCCTTGCAAGCTGATATCTTTATAACACCAGCTAATGTCTGCTCAGCATCCACAGGCAGTCCTGTAACGACAGATCTAAGTTTTTTTTTTGTTTTTTTTTAAAGTGGTATTTATTAATGTCGCATGGTGGAATAAGACCTGCAGTGATTCAGAACTGAATTAGATTCAGTGGAAAACAATGACTCTGAAGGGCAGTTCTATATGTTGCAATAACCTACTTCAAGTGACAGGCAGGTGATCTCAAACTAAGCAATAAAAAGATAAGTGATAGCCAGCTAGTACTAACCTCAACCCTTATTCATGCTGACATTTGTATTTCATTCCGTTCCACTTTTCTCTAGGAAGGCTAAATGCAGAAATAACTCAAGAATATTAGAATAAAATAAAATGTAGCCACATCTTATTTGAATCCCCGATGAGGGCAGTTCTTTGCCCTGGCCTAGCTAACAGTAGGCCCTGAGAAGTACCATTGCTCCGCCCACATGCATAACGCATTGTGCGTGGCCAGGAGGGCACCCAAAAAAAAATCACACTCGGTTTTTATAATTAATCGTGACATATTTAACTAGACATGTGTGAATAAATACAGAAGACACAAAATTGTTCTAGAAAAAGACTCATTTCCTAAAGTCTCCCCCTTGATGCCCCATTCCTTCCCGTCGTCCCAGTGGTTCGCTCTACTGCGCTTCAATCTCAAATTTTGCAGACACCTGTGTTTCAAGAGTCAGGCTGGAAAAACTGACCTGATGGCATGCCAGCACTGGCACTGGTTTACGGCTGAAACAGGTTTGGTGGAAAAACTCCCCTGAGGAGCTCCATCTTAGAGATAATGAGTTATGAAAAGTCTCCATAACAGCACGTTTATTCAAGCTGTTGCATAAATCTATGTTAGAGGTGCTATGAAGAGTATTTCTTCTCCCTGGAGATAAGCTGCTAGTTATGAGTTTCTGAAATACTCTCTGGTTTTGTTGTAACTGATCTGTAACATACCAAACGAATGACATTCCAAAGTCCAGGGTCCCTAATGACATGCACCCATGGTAGGACATGCACAGCTCCTCTTTGTCACATCCACTTGATCAAATCTTAAAAAATATTGCCCTGACTTCATGGATGGCAAAGTTTGGTTGTAGCTATAGCCATTTGGTGACTTACAAAAATGAACACGCATCTCATTTAACTTTGAGCCAGTGCCACGGGGTCTATGTATCACATTATGTTGATTAACGAAGCTATTTTATTTCCAACTACAATACCACCTGGGACTTTGTTAAAAACAGTTATGTCTCAATGTGTTTGTTTTCCGTCACTTTGGAAGGTGCTGTTTATAGTCACACAATAAGTGCCGTTCCAAAACCACTAATAGTTGCTGTAAATGTCTGTCAAAATGTTACAAAGCAGCGTGAAATAACAATAACAGCAAAGAATACTGTGATTAAGAGCGTTAAAAAGCCTTTATTAAGGGTGTATCATCAAGTCTGTGAGCCAATCCCTTGATTGGTTGTTGTGAAACTAGTTGCAAAGTTCTCTCAAATGCAGCTTTTTGTCTGCTTTTGTGGGCCGTAGTAACAAGAATATATAATGCTAACTTTACAATAAACAACCCCAAGATGTAGTTTGATGTATTTTTTCTTTCATTCTTTTTAACAAAATAAATGGGCTGGTTTTTCAACCAAAGACTCAATGCTTCATTTGCTCAAACAATTATCGTTTTTATTTTTCCATATCATAACTAGCTTGACTTTGCAGGGGTTGTTTATACTCATGTATATCTTTGAATTGTTGCAAAACTTATTCTATGCTTCTATTAAAAAAAGAGGGACTAGTCTGCTAAGTAATGTTGAGCTGCTGTTTTGAACCAAGTTGTAAGCTTATTTGTTTTGACAATGACATCATTGCATAGCTAGAGCACTGCGAAGTTATGCACTCACTTACTATGAAAATAAATTAGTCACACATCAACTGTTGTAGTCTAACGTCTCTCTTGAGTCTCAATTCAAGCACTGAAAACTTTTTATATTTAGAGGAAGCTACAAATGGATAGTACAGAAAGTAAAGAGGACCTTTCAAGGAAGTATAAGAACTGTACCCTCTGTAAAAATACAACGTATGTAAGGGAAAAGAGGAACCATTTCAGGGTGGAGTCTTTTGTTTTTACTTTTTTTGTTTTGTACATTTAAAAAAAAAAAACAAAAAAAAACTTAGGTTTCAGCGGACCGTGCTATATCCAAAATATATAGCTATAGAAATGTGGATCAGATAAGAAAATCTAGCTATATGATGAATTACAAGGGAAAACAAGGTTGGTTGTCATACTTTGTTTTTACTGCAAACAAAAAATGCTATGAATAGTCAGCCCCTTCTCAGTGTGTGGAGGAAGCCTAAAGTGTGAGGCGTTTCTGAAAAGTATATTTTTAATACAGTGTTTCAGTTTACAATGCTTAGTTTCAATTCTTAATTAAAACAACATCTTATAGAGACAATATCAACTTTAATGCCATGTTGGCTACTTTGTTAAACCAACAGAATAGAGCAACCATCTGATTTTTCTGCTCATTACTAAAAACTAAACTATTTCTAAAATATCCTACAAATAACAGTGGTTGAAACATCTGATGGACTCATTTAATAGCAATATTTGCCAGTGAAAACATTGATCATGATATGCAAAGATCATATCTTGGACTACAATGTCTCTCTGTCTGGCTTTCTAACCGCATGAACAGACAAAAATTTAAAGAGGACAGGCAAAAACATATGAGGTGGATTAGCAGTGCCATCCGGGACGTGGAACATGGCTTCTGTTGCCTCTATCTTGGTCTGTTAGCATGTCATACAGCAACAGTCAGATCCCTCCTCAGATTTGTTGCAAGACTGACTGCTACCGGAGACCCTCCAGGCCCACTGCATCTTCGTTCAATATGATTCAAAAAGTATTTTATTTCTTTTAAACAGTGTATGTAAATATCTTGATAATAAACAAAAGTGATACGGAAATAAAATCTTGAAAAATCCCATATCAAATTCATAATTGTTTCCCAAGACAGAGACCTAACAGCGTAGTTAATACAGGCTGCATTGAAATATGTAGCTTATTTATAAATAGTTATGTTGAACAGATATAACGATACAAATTACGAATTAATTATACGTTTTATTCATGTATAGTTAAATTGTTGCGTACTTAAAAAAATAAAAAATGTAGAATTGACATAAAGTACGGCACACTGTGAGTTACGTCACAAAGTTTATGTCAAGTAAGAAGCCCAACGATAACCGCCGGTAGATAACCTGCATACGATCAGGTGCAGAACACCGTGCCGCACCTAAGCAGGCGGACCGGCAAGGTAAGGTAAAAAAAAGTTACCCCATAATAAGCAACTGTCATCAGTGAAGCATAAACAGACAAACCTCTGTCTTGCTGTGACAGCTGTTTTTCCTCAGATCGTCACATTTCAGTCCGTTCTGGCTCGAAGGAGGCTTTAGGTCTGCGTCAGAAGTTCTTGCCATGTTTAGCAGAGGAATGGGTCTGTTCCGTTGAATGACAAACCAACGTGCTGGTTACTAAACTGCCAAAGGTGACTTCCTCCTTCAGCTGTTTCGGTTCAGCCTCTTTTTTTTTTTTTTTGTTGCTGCTGTTGTATGGAAGCTTCAGCAGAAAATGTCACCCTTGGTTTACCTCAAAGTTTTCTCTTTCGATACAGCGTAAAAGGGAACTTCTGGTTATTAAAAACTAAACAGAGCTGGCACTTACATCACCCTCATTTATTTTTAAATTATGGAATACAGTTTTTTTATTTATTTATGTATTTCACTCAATAATAAAACGTTGACAAAATGTAAATAAAATGTTTTTTACTATAATTAGACCTACTGTTTTGGGTATCATGAAACTTTATAAGAAAAGCTCATCTGTGTTATAGTATTTTTTTTTATTATGTGTACTAATAAACATAATTCTGTACATGCATTCCGTTGCAAAAGTATTCATACCCTTTGCACTTGTTTTGCATTTTATCGGGTAATGCAAGTGATATATAATTAAAAACTGAAGAAAAAAGAAGGAAAGAAAGAGAGGAAAAAAATGCAAGGAGAATCTCAGCAGCTCCTCCAGAGTTACCATGGCTGCTTCTCTGATTAAGTCTCGTAGCATTAATCCTATTTTCATTTCCAAATGATGAATTGAATAGAGCTCTGTGAGATGATCAAAGCTTGTTTTAACCTAATCCTGCTTTAAGTTTCTTCACAACGTCATCCTTGACCTGTCTGTGGTGCTACTTGATCCTCATGATTATTCATTAATGTCCACTTAACAAACCTCCGAGGCTTTCACAGAACGGATAAATTAAACACAGTCGGACTCTGTTTACTAATTAGGTGACTTTTAAAGGCATCTGCTTGCACTGAATTTTAGATAGGGATAAGTGCCCTGAATGTCACTCATTTAAAAATGTATATAAAGAAGAAAAATAAAAAACTATGCTTCCTCTTTCTTCCTCTTCACAATTATGTATTAGTTTGCGTTTATCTATTCCATAAGGTTGAGGTTTGTTGTTGTAGTGTGACAAAATGTGAAGTATGAATAATTTTGCTTTTAATGTACCTACAATAAAAAAAAATAGTTTCAAAGGAAACAGATCTCTAACTTGTAAAATGCATCCCAATCCTTTTCTGAATGAGTCTATATCTGTACAGGAATGTGAAATAGTAAGATTCTTTCAGACTCGATTCATGAGTGTAACTGACTTTGGTGCTAAATATTTTCACTTTTTATGGTTTCACTTCAAGCGTTCAAAGTAGGCTTGGTTGTGAAATTGTACTCTGCACGTGAAATGCTCCTGCTGCTGTAGTAAAAGACAACTAAATGATATGAAGTTGGTGGTAAAAGAAACGTGACGGACACTGTCAGAGCAGGCCCAAGGCACAACCAAAATGAGCTGTTTTCGAAGACCTCTGAATTATCAGTAAAAATAAAAGTGGTTATTGAAAATGAGAACGCTGTTCAGTTCGATTTAAGATTTTAAATAAATTAAAACATGTAAAGTTGTTAAAATTCTAATTTTAAGGAGCAAATTAGCGATTTTACTTTGTGTTTGATTATTGTGTTTACATAGATATAATGTTATGCTTCAAACTTAATCTTTTTGTTTGTTTGTTTGTTTTTAAGTTAGGTTTGTCTGTAAATTAATTTCAGCAAACAATTACAAACTATATACAAGATTCTCTTTTAAGCCCAGCTGGTTAAATGTTGCCCCCTCTCCACCGAAAGCTGTTGTTGTTGATGATGTTCGACAGGAAGAGCCGCCACAAACCAGGTTCTGTCTGAGGCATTTGTATGACCTTGTATGTGTTGTTTCCTGTTTCATGCTTGGGTTTGGTCATTGAGTGTAACAACCTCATTACCGTGTACTTTGCTTACTTATAACAAAGCAGTGACTGATGTCGACACTTTGGACAAAAAACGAGAGAAAGAAATCAGATATAAAGCAGCACAATGATGTTATCTGGATATAATGGGAAGTTTAGAGGTTAGAGGGGTAGATGCTCTGCTATAGTGCTGGTAGTCATGTTTACTGTGCTGAACACCAACTGTTTCTGTGTCAAAGTCCAGCTCAGCCTAATGGCAACACTTTTGCACCCTTAAAGTGGCTGTTAATGTTTTTGCTGAGCAAAACGTTCTAGTTTTACTGCTGTAACAAGTGTTGCTATTGGTTTCCATGACAGGAAGGCTTTGTGGTGAATCATATACTTCTGTGTCATAAATCAAACCTACTGTTTACTCTTATAAAGCACATAAAAAATAGCCTTCTAAAGTCTTATCTATTTGCTTGGTGATAGTTCATCCGCACTTTGACTATTTTTTCCTTTAGGATAAAGAGAGCAATGCTCATTAGTAAAAAGGTGCTAACCGCTCCTGTGGTGTACGTTGTGGCTTTCCAAAGTAAACTGAAACATGTGGATGACTAAACAGGCTGGTGTGACGAAAAATATGCTGGTGCATTTTTTTCCCCAAGCTTTTCAGCTGACTTATTGCTTCTGAAGAGCAAGTCAGATTTCCAGAAGCGGACAGACGTGAAGATAGCGCTCAGAGGAACTTGTTTGGAATGCAGCTGCATGTCTGAACTTCATGCTGCATGAATAGGAATGTTCTGATGGCAGTATCTGCCACACAGGCTCTGCTAACCTTCCTTTGGGCCGCTCTGTTTGGGTCGCCGTCTAATATCTCCCATCTCCATGTAATTTCAACATAAATTGTTTATCACTGTTATGTTGGTAAAAAGCTCATTTATTAATATTATTTGATGAACGTAACTTCCTTCTTTATCCCACCTCTGCTGTCCCTAACCATCTCAACTCTAAATTTCAAAGCTAATAGAATCAGAATATCATTTAAAGTATTATGTTCTGACTGAAAATATTACTGCTCTGGGACTGTATGCATTGCTTTGGAAAAGTATGTTTGCACATTTTGTTATGTTACAAATCATTAAAGAAAAATGATTAATTCATGAAAGAAAATCTTACTTGTGTGGCATACATTTGAATTTGACTCCTGTTACTCCTACATGCCCCCTAAATAAAATAAAGTGCACTTTAGAAGTCCAATAATAATGCAAACAACACGCCTGTCCACCAGAGGACTACATGTTTGCTGAGTCTCCTACGCCTGTCCACCTGAACTGATAAGGACAGTACGAATCAGAGAAGCAGCCAAGAGGCCCATGGTTGCTTTAGAGGTGGGAGACACTGTTGATATATAACTAATAGTTTGCATTTTAGAAACCTGGTCTTTATAAAACAATGGGAAGAATAATGTCATTGTTCACAGAAAGCCTTAAGAAATTACAATTAAAGTTTGGTGTAAGTTCTTTAGGAGACACTGACATGTGGAAGAAGCTGCTGTGGTCATTTAAGACTCATGTCTAATTTAGCAAAAACTAGTAAAGCTAACAGACATGTCAGGTAGTGAAACTTTACTGAGGCAGCTCATTCATATCAGTAGATCAGTTGGTATGGATTAAGGGTTGCAAACCGTCTCAATGAGATATAAGTCATATCTGCAGCTTTTAGCCGTTGTTAGCTTAGTTTGGAATCTTGAGCAGACCCCACAGCAGCAGCAGGAGCAGCTGGTTCTTGCTTTCCTTCGTTACACAATTGCTTCCCTCTCATGGGACCAGATGTAGCCTACATCTGTCAGCCTTCATTAACTGCAACAATCTGGACAGCACTCTTCATTATGGATGTTTTCTTTAATCCTAAGGTTCATTTAAAGCAACAGAAGTAACTTTAACTTACGATTTCAATGTTGCATGACTGAAACATAGGTTTAAGTATTTTGTCGGACAGCTACACGTGCTCTCATTTTCAGTTGATTGATCTTGGCAGGGAAAATGCATATTAAACAGACTAAATCAGTTTGCTCTTGCTTTTTATGTTCTCTATTTTTAAGATTATTATGTGATTTATAGTGTGATAATCCATCTTGAAAGCTCAGTAATAGAGTTGGTGAAGTACAACAGGTACAGATTATTCCAGTGTGAAGTTTCCATTTCTCAGAGTATCATGTAAAACAATTAACATTCCATATTTGATGACTTTAAATGTTTTAATATGCCCAAACTCCCTGTGCTGCAGCCTTTGCATATTATTTATGAAGAAAATCTATCTGGAGGTCGTATAGAAAAAGTTAACGTGCTTTGCCAACGACAGAATGCCTCACCCATTTGATAAGTAGCTTTTGACAGACAGGAGGTTGTCCTGCCATCTTGTGGCAGCCCAGAGGACATCAAAGTCAGACACACACAATCCACTTAACTCTTCTCTCACACACTTAAGCTCTACTGCCCATTAAAAAAAAAAATAAAAGAGCAAATATTGCATATTTATATTATGTGAATGACCATTTTTTACAGCATCTAAGTTGCTGGTTCATCAGAGATGTGGGCAGTTGTGCATGAATGAACTCTTGCCATGCCATGAAAGCAAGTTGTGCTGCTGAGCTATATTTAAACTTCCCCTGGGGTGCCATTAAATCATGTAATTTCTTCGTCAGGCCCAAATGACCTCATTTTAATATCCTGGTTGCTAGTGTTCTATATAGGATTTAAGGAATACTTCTTATATGTGACTTTAGAATGGAACAACCTTAAATATGCAGATGGATCTTAGTAAAAACCGACAAAGAAAACAAGTCTAGTTTGGTGGAATTTTGACAGATTCCGTTTGACAGAACTACTGTAATTGAGTGAAGTTTGTAGGCCATCTATAGATGGCTGAATTTGCCACAGAGATCACCACTTTGTGATGGCCACAAAGTCAAATCATTGGCTTTGTTATTTGTAAGCCACTTTGTAACAAATTTGATGATGTGCTTTGGGTCTTGTCTCTGTTGTGTCCAAACTTTAACTTGTCTGGTGACTCCTCTGGTCTTAAGAATTTGCTTCAACATTTTCACACAATCTTTTTTGTAAATTGCACCAGTCCCTCCTGCAGTAAAACACTTTCCCAACATAATTCGACCACCACCATACATTAGAATTAATATTAGATTCTAAGAATTATAAGTGTCCCTGTCTTTGCTCCAAATAAGACCAAACATTTCCACT